TGTTTGCTCTTCACGAAATTGCACAGGAAACGTGAAAGCACAATAATTTAATAAACGGCCATGACCAGCCAGCACACTCCGCATAACATGTGAAAATTGTTTTTTCTTTCGGTAAAATTAGTATGAACCCGTGGTCAGCGATTAAAGAATCATAGAATTATAATTGTAGTTAGTAAAAACGGGTGCATGTTCACCAAAGGGCCACAGAATTCTTGTGTCACGCGCCGCCGTTTAAATGAAGACAATGGCAGGTTTCAAAAGTAGTCACACCTCGGAGAATTTGAATTGAAACAAAGAAGCGTTTGCCGTTGCTTGGTCAGGATAGAGAGACAATTTCCATGGGTAAATGCTAGTAGAAGACCCTCAATGCCCTAAATACTTCGACCATGGAACTATAAACCATGTATAGTTCCATGCTTCGACCTAACCACTTTATTTGTACAAGTAGAAAAAGTGATATGTTTCGTTAAAACATATACCTTAGAAAAGATAATAACAATAAAAATATACAGTTCACATATATACTCTCAAGCAAAGATCCTGGCATAATTATAGAACTTGCCAATTATATTTACACAACACAAAGATTTATTTAACATTTAAATACTTTTGTATTGTTTTTTGTACAATTCTTACATATATCTTGTTATTATTTTAAAACTCTTTTTTGGTGTACTTATCCTATGTAAAAAAAAATACACGAAGGCAATAAAGTTATTATTATTATTATTATTACTACATGCCCGGGAACTTCACGTTCAAGTATCCAACTTTCCAATACAAAACATGATTAGTATCAGCAATAATTTCTAGTACTGCCTGGATAATTGCGTATAATTAGTTGACACAAAACATTAGTGTTTTTCGTCAATGTATTAAATATAAGTGCGTTGGGAAATAGCATAATTATATTGCGTGAGTGAAAGAGGCTGGTGATACTGTGTCACAACGCAGTTGAACGCGTTCTATTTATTTCCAACGCGCGTGGTCGGCGCCACTGATTGCGTTTATTTTGTATTTTTATTTTCGAAATGTATCACTGGCTGCGTTTTTTGTTGTTACGTCTCGCAAATGTCCAAGGTCCAAGTAGTCTGGTTGAAACGTGCGTTCCCATTGGTCGACAGAATCAACAGTTTATAGGAGAATTTAGCTAAGGGCCTGTGCTTCATTACAAAGCTGTTGAAAATAACCACAAAATTAACATCACGTTTATTCCTAATCAGCAAAACAGCGAGTTTTGTTGTCCATGTCTTGTCTGA